GCATGGCTGCCCCTGGGCCATGGTCCTTCCAGACAAGCTCAGTAGCTACAGGCTGTGGCATTCTGGGTGCAGCTCTGTACCCCACTCCATTGAAGGGGGAGAGAGCCTGTGATGAGCAGAAGGACCTGTCTCCTCTCACCCCTCAGGGGAACTGAACAGCTGGACTGCCTGACAACCTCACCTCCATCACCCCATGCCTGGACATTGCCATGCGCTCCTGATGGCTGGCTGGTTACTTCAGGCCTGACTTCTCTTGCAGCCTGAGGACAGGAGTTTCAGGTGTCCTCCTGAGTGTGTGACCTCAGTTCCAGCCTGGTTTTAAGATAGGCTTGAGGAAGTCCCCTACCCAATCCCACCTGCTGCCTGCCATATTGGCCAAGATCCTGTCAGCAGCAGAGCCATTGAGATCAGACAAGAGCCGACGATGGTCCTTGTTGCTGGGTTTAACGTGGGTGCTCCAGGCCTGGAGATGGAGCAAAGGCCCTGGGTACTAACAACGGAGGATAAACAAGACAAAGCAACACCCAGTTCTGGGTAACTGGGCCAGCACCTAAAGCAGGAGCCAGGACCTGCAGGCCGCACCCCAGAATCTGTAGCTACCTGCCCTCAGCCAGTGGCACCTGCTGCTTGCCTAGCTTTCCCACCATCTCCAGGCCCTGTACCACCCTATCCTTGTGCAGGCCTGTGAGGGATCTTCTGACGACCCGGGTTCCTTCATCCAAGTGTATTGAAACAGCTGGGTATGGCGGTGCACTCCTGCAGTGCCTGCTACCCAGGCTTGAGCCCAGGGGTTCCAGAGCAGATTGACACATTAGCCTTTGTTTCTAGAAACAGACGGGCTAGCTCTTCTTCTGTTATCTTACCAGAGGGCTCTACATCTACAGATCTGCCGTCTCCGGCCCTCCTTCCCGGCCTTTTTATTTTCCCCTCTGTTCTTAGAACATACATTCCGACCTCCTAGACAGAATATGGTAACACACACACACACACACACACACACACACACACACACACACACACACACACACAGTGTGTGGCAGAGAACAGAAGGAAGGACGCACATGGCCCTTTCATTATCCAGTAGACACATCTCCCTCCAAAACACTGTCCTTCAGCACCTCCAGAAAAATAATCATGTCAGCTCTTCCAGAGAGTCAACCATGGTAAAAGGGAAACTGAGTCCACTGAGCAAAGGAAGGAAGGCCCCCAGAGCGGCACAAAAGGGAACAGGATTAGGCTAAGCCAGGAGGAAGTACTCCTGTGGGCACCAGCCGGAACCAGCCACAGGATGAAGTGAGAGCCAGGGGTTGCTATGGGTAGAGACGTGGCTCACCTCCCACAGCCTCCAGCTTCCACCTCAGCTCTGCTGTGCATATCCCTAGCACAGCCCACTTCAAAAGGTTCCCTGCATGCAAGTCTCCAGCAGTGCAGAAGGCAGGACCTGTCTGTCTGTGGACACCCCTCACTCTAAGGGCAAAGGGCACAGCCTAATGTAAGCAGTCTGTTCTTTTTTGAATGAGCACAAAAGGATCATGTTTATACTTAGCACCACCTCTAGGCTTTCTCAGGCTACATCACTCCTTCATGTTAGTGAGAATCAAGGCTCACCCACGAGAGCCAGGGCTCCTAGAGCATGACACTGTCAGAGCCGTGGAGTTGCTCAGGTAAGAGATGTGCTGATCGAAGCATTCCATGCTCACACCCTGGGCATCACCTGCTTGACTTCCTGAGAGAGACACACCACCTCCTAAACAGGATATTGAAGAAAAAAAACAAAAATATAAAATAAAATAAACCAAATCCTTTTAAGTGTGTGTGCCCAATTGTAGGTATCTGAAGAGGCCAGAAGAGGGTGTTGAATCCCCCAGAGCTAAAAGTACAGGTAGTTTGTAAGCCAACCTGATGTGGGTTGATGGGAACTGAACTCTAGTCCTCTGGAAGAGCAGTATGTGATCTTAACCCCTCACCACTTTTTTCTTTCTTTCTTTTTTGAGACAGGGTCTCCCACTGTATCTCAGGCTGGCTTGGGACTAGAACTCACTAAGTAACCCCAAGCCAGCCTCAGAGAGTGATTATCTTCCTGCCTGGGGCTCCTGAATGCTGAGATTATATGCCTAGCCCACACCTGGCTCCTTAGCAGGGCACTTCCGTCTTGATGCCCATCTGTAGCTCCATGGCCCCAAGGAGGGTCTCAGAACCAACTGGTTTTGGGGTAACTCAGACCCAGCCCGTGATAAACAAGAGAAGCCAAGTTTCAAAACCTGCCTGATACTTGGAGGGCTCTAACTTTTGATATACATAGCAGACCCAGGGTAAATATTAATGTTGGAGACATTTACACACCCTACCCCACAGACCCTGATTCAGCAGGACCCAAGTGGGTCCTGTAATCTGCATTTTTTTTTCCAGACAAGGGTCTTGCTGTTGCCCGAATTAACCGTGCACTCCTGGGCTCCAGCAGTTCCCCTGCCTCAGCCTTCCTGAGTAGCTTCAACTACAGCCATGTTGCCACAGAACTCAGCTCAAAGTAACCTACATTCCCTGTTGCCATAGGGTTGTGCTTTGAACTGCCGAGGGCAGGAGGCCCACCACACACACACACACACACACACACACACCACTTCCCAGGAGGGCTCAGGGAAGGGTGAGAACCCGGTATGCGTCTCAGCCTCCCACAGTGCGAGCTGGTGTGGAAGCAGGTTAGATACTCCTATCTGCCTGGGTGTGGATGGGATACTGCCGTGCAGCTTTCCAGACCCCTGAGGACAGGCCTGCGTGCGCGCGCAGTGGAGCACATCTGGCTCCTGGCGCACTGGTCTCTCTCCCTTCACCTCCCACTGGCCCCTCACCCTTAGCAAATGCAAAGAAGAAGTAAAGAGCCTGTGATTCACATCTGTTTCCCCTTAAGACACCCACACCCATTTTCTTCAAGACCCGCCCAGCACAACCCAGGACAAGAACTAACAGATTTAAACATTTATGGAACTTCCTGCTCCGGTCACGTGGCACAAGAGATCCTTGAGTGGGTTCTGGGGGAGCTGCCCTGTATTTGGGGCTCTGCCAGGGGCAAGCCCAAAGGGCTTCCCCTAGATAGACAACTCAAGCTGGGGGCATGTGACTGCTCTGCTCTATGGGGGCGGAAACAAAAGTTCAAAAAACCATCAAGTATGGGAGGTAAGAGGCAAGAAGAGACCCGCAAGAATGGAGAGAAGAAGGCTGTGTGGGTCCAGGCTCAGGAATCCCTGGGCTACAGGACACCTGGTGGGGTGTGTGAAGCCTCCTAGTCAGATGCCAAGGGCAGTGGGTGTGGAACACACACACACACACACACACACACACACACACACACACACACACACACAAGCAGGGGACCCAAGACATCTACCTACAGGGACCAGGCTCATCACATCGATTACAAGGGCTTGGGGGAGCTTTCTGCTGATCAATTCCACAAATACATTTTTTCCTACAAACACCAGCTTACTGCAGACAAGACCCTCCTCTAAAAATAGCAAGAGGGTCTTTTCCATGTTTCTCAAATGCTCCTGCGGTACTTGGCCCTGTGAGACAGGTGGACGGCGGGGAAGGCACAGTGCCGGCTCTGCCAGGCATCCCACACGCAGCATCCTGAACAAGACCCTCATCTCCCTGGGCCACACCCCTCACCTACAGGATGCAGGCAACAGCACCTGTCCTCTGGACAGGGTGAGGATTAAAGCACGTACGTTTAATTGGAGTTGCCTGCCCCACAGTCGGAACTCGGTGGATTCTTCCCTTTCTCTTCCTACTCATCTCAATTCCAAATCTAAAGAGATCCAAAGCTCACCTCAGAAAACGCTAAAGGGCCCAGGCACACTAACAAGCAACAACAAACAACTCAACTTTAAATTTATTAGCTACAACTGGGAGCCATGTCCCCTACTAACCGGCTCCCTACCCTGAATCTTGCTTTCTCCGTGTGGAAAGAGGGAGAAAGCGGCTTAGGCGTATTCGGAGAAAGGGCCTCTTCGGGCTGCTGGGCACCGCAGCGGTATACAAATAAGGTTACACAATGAGCCAGCGACTCTAAGGCTGCTTGTCCGTGTTCAGTGAACCAGTAAGTACAGTAGCTCTTTAAAACGTCTGGAAGGCACTGTGATTATTGCTGTGTAACTGGGACTAATCAACAACGCACTTCAAGAACCACTATGATTTTTTTTTCAGGTTGGTTTTTCGGTTGGTAACGAGAAGACTGTTTAGGAACGTATCTGTGGGAGGCATTTAAGAGTAAGTTCAGAGCGTGCTAAGTCTGAGGTAGCTGGGGCATCACAACAGAGACAGCATGTGAATGGTCTGGGAGTAATCTGAGTCACTACGGAGATAGTAGGGACCAATGCTCCTAGCGTTCCCCACCGGAGTTAAGCGGCACTTTTTCCTTAGATCTGCCTAGCCGCCTCATTTCGAAGTAGGCACATTCTAAAGCTGGGTCGTTAGTACCGTGTGCCTTACAACAGTACCATTTCCCAGCGTCCAAAGTTGCCTTGCTCTTAGTTGAAGTTTCTCCCGGCCCATTACGCACAGGACGGTGCCTGGCAGCTGCTCTGATTCCGGTGCGGGGCTAAGAGGGCTGTTCCCCACGAGGGTGGAGATGCAATCACCAAACCTTCCAGAGCTTGAGCTTCCTGAGCCTGTGGCGGGCACTTCGCGGGGCGCGCACTTCCCAGAGTCCCTAAAGGTGTCCTTATTTAGATCCCCTAAGCTGGGAGTGACTGGAGCATCCCTGACGCCTAAGAGGCACTCAGCCGGTGGCCTGTTCTGCCGCTCCAGGAGTGTCTCAACAACCCGCAGTGGAACATGCATCGAGGGAGGTGGCTGGCATCCTCCACGCCAGAACCTCTCCGAGTGCCTAGTGTACTCCTAACCTGGCCCATCTGAGGTCCCAGAAGGTAGAACCGTGGGCCTGGACTGGGTGCCCCTCTGTAGAACTCTAAACCAGCCCGGGCTGGAAAGATGTGTCTCACCTGAGCGGGACGAGAATGGCCAGATACCTGTCGACTGCCACAGCCAAGAGACTGAAGATGGAGCTCTGTGTGAGCACCAGCACGAAGCAGGCGAGGAAGAGGCAGCTGTGGAAGTCCGTGCAGAAGCCCAGGCTGATGGTGATGGCGAAGGGGATGGCGAAGAGTCCCACGGCCACGTCGGCCGCCGCCAGAGACACCAGGAAGTAGTTGGTGGGAGTCTGCAAAGCACTCGAGGCGCCCACCGCGGCGCACACCAGCACGTTGCCCGCCACCGCCAGAGCGGCGATGACCAGCTCCAGTGCCACGTACAGCGCGTCCTGCGTCTCCAGCTGCATGGCCGGGCCGGCCGGGCCCGGGGCTTCGTCTACCGGGGCTGCGCGGGTCGCAGGACAGCCACTAAGGCGCCGCCAGGCATGGCCACAGCGCCTAGACCGCCCGTCCGGAGCCGGGGCTAAGCCTCCGAGTCCGTGCGCTCCGGACGGGTGCGGGGGCGTGGTCTTGTCGGGGCGTGGCCTTGCGGGGGCGGCGCCCATTGGCCGCCTGCCAAGAGCCCGCCTTAGTCCCGCCCTTCTCCCCGGGTCGGTGCTCTAGCTGCTCGTGAGCTCCGGGAAGAACGAATTCCCTAAATTGCCTTCGGGCGGGGGCACACGGGAAACACACCTCAAGGCTTCTCCAACTCCCACCTTGGCGCGAGGTCCTAGCCTTCACCCGGCCCCGATCCCGAGCTGCGAGCCCTGGGCTGACTCCCCTGCGGGTGTGCAGACCCCGCCACACCCGAGCTGCCCCCCGGATCCGGCCCGGGCTTCCTCTCGGCGCTGCACTCCCCGCGCGGCCCCTAGTCCATCGGTCCCCGAGGCCACCGCTGCCCGCCGGGGGTGCTCGCCTGCTCAGCCCTGCGCTCGCAAACTCACTTTCCAGACTCTGCCTCCCTCCCCCACCCCAGGAAGGGTGCTGAACGCCCACACCTGCGGTGACCCATCCTTCCTCCCACCTGCAAGAAGCCCCCAGGGCCCTCCGCCGCCTGCTCCCCCCCCCCCCATACCTCGCTCCTGGCGGGCCCTAGCTGCTCCTCTGTGTCTGGAGTGTTCAATCCTAGAACACCACGGGCTGTGCCTTTTGCCCCTGCAGAAGCCGCTACCTGTAGTCACCAGCCAGGATGGTTAAGGAGATTGTCAACACGACAAAGATGACTGAAAACACTGTCAAGTCGAACCAAAATACGGGTGGCTGCTAAACAGTTTCTTTGGGGGGATCATGGAATTTTTTAACGTGAATGCTAAACTCGCTTTCTTTCTGTATGAGTGCGTGGGGATTAGAGGGGGAACAGGTGCATTGAATTGCACCTTTTACATGACTGGATTGTATGGTATATAAATTACATTTCAGGGTTAGCTGTAATAGTAACAACAAATCCCCCACGGGCCCACACATATGGACGGCATTGTCTGCCAGGACCCTAACATAGACAAGAAAGTCACCAAAGAACAGAGTTCTTAAACATAAAATAAAATAACATTCTAACTGGTTATTTTAAGAATTTTTTTTCTTTCTATCTTCCATGTGGAGAAAAACCTTATTTTTAAAAAATACCTTATATATTTGTATACGTTTCCTACAAAATATTGGCAAATCCACAGTCCTATGCCCTGGTCATCTGAGTTTTGATAGCAGCTGCTCCACCTTCACATAGAACCTGACACTGACTTCTGCCTCTTGACACAGATGACAAGCTGGGACCTCAGAGAGGTCAGATCATGGGTACCGCCAAGCTTAAAATGGCAGGAGGAAAGAGACTTCCTGGAGTGGTGGCTTTTCCATAGAGGGCTTTTGGCAGTATTGGGTAGGGAGTCAAATGGGGCAGCGGGGTGTGCGTGCGGGGGTTGGGGGTATGGGGGGTGTGGGGGGTCAACCTTGCTTAAGGACAGCCGTGCCCAGGAGAGTGGAGAATAGAAGGCCTGAATGGAGAAGGCTTTGCCCACCAGGGTGGAGTGCTGGAGGAGCTGTGGTGCCAGCCCCAGGGCGTCTCTGAGCAAGGACCAGAGCATTAGGAATAAAGAGAGGACTGGCCAAGCGGATGGAGGCCTGTGGCTCCTGGGAGTGGCTCCAGTGTGCTTGTAACCATGCTCAAGTCGAGCAGCCTTTTCTGCACCTAGGTGTCCATCTCCCTATAGAGCTCCACCTTCCTCAGCAGACCTCCCCAGAATCAGACTACTGAAGGGCCCAGTCTCTCTGTCTGCTGGGTTCCATGTCACCAGTCACCCACCCGCAGAGCTTCCCCCCACCCCGTCCTCTCTCCTTGACTCACCAACCATCTCTCCTTTTCTACGGGGTTCATTTGAAATGACTTTCTGACCTGTAGGAGCAAGGTAGGATTTGAACTGGACTCATGGGCCCAGGAGGGTGACAGTAGTTAGTGGTTATGAATGTTGTTCAGCAAACAGGAGGGAGTCACGGGATTTCATCTTGAGAAGAATGGAATTCCATGAGAGACCCTGCCTCAAAATAAAGTGGAGAGGGACCGAAAAGCACCAGCATCAACCTGTGGAGTCAATAAAATCTGTCTCCTTTATTAGTTCTTATTTTTGAGACAGGGTCTATGTAGCCCAGGCTAGTCAAAAAACTTACTATGTGGCTGGGGAGGACCTTGAATTCCAAACCCTCCAGACTCTGTACAGGAATATGCCACTACAGTTAGCCACACTTCTTTGAAGAAACTGACAAATGAATCCTGAAATGCTTATGTAAGGGACTGAGAGCAGCCAAAATAATCTTGTTAAAGAGGAAGAAAGAAAGAAAAGCCAGGGGGCCAGGGAGATGGCCCTGTGGGTAAAGGCACTTGTTACATGGCCCAATGAACTGCATTCAAACTCCAGAACCCATGTCAGGATGGAAAGAGAGAACTGACTCCACAAAGTTGTCCTGTGAACTCCACATGCACACTGTGGCATGCTCCAAATAACACACACACACACACACACACACACACACACACACACACACACGCACACACACACACTAATGGCAACCTACAAAATAGGATAAATTCTCTCCAGATCTCATATCTGATGAGTCTAGTATCTTGTATATATTAAGAACTCTTACCAATCAATTACAAAAGGACAAATATACAATGTTTTAAATGGACCAAGGATCTAAATACATATTTCCTAAGAAGAGAGAAACAAAAATCACACACCAATAGATAACCTGATCTTGTATAGAGGCCAGGGTGAGTGCGTGCCCCCCACCTCCAAGAGCAAAGCAGGTTATAAGCTGGATCCATTTAGATTCTAGCCTTGCCTCCTGCCAGTGTCCACATCATACCAGCTCCAGTTCCAGATGTTCCTAGCTCTGCTGTGGAGAAGGGGCACTGAAGTCTTCCTCAGACATCCCGTTACTAGTTGCTGTCAATGTTCTTTAGGACATTGCTCTCACTTCAGCCAAAGGGATCCTGGGGAGCAATGAGGGTCCCAGACTTCTGGAATAGGGGTGACTGCTGTGGAATAATCCTTCTGTACACTGTGTGAATATATGTCGCTATGATTGGTTTAATGAACAAGATGACTGGCCAATAGCTGAACAGGATAAAGTTAGGCAGGAAAACCAAATTAAGAATGATGGGATGAGGAAGGGCAGAGTCAGGAGGGTGGCCAACTAGATGGAGACTGAGTTGGACACACAAAATGGGATAGAGGTAAAAGCCACAAGCCTCCAGGCAGCACATAAATGAATAGAAATGGGTTAAGTTGTAAGAGCTAGTTAGTAACAAGCCTGAGCTATTGGCCAAGTATTTATAATTCATATTAAGTCTCTGAGTGATTATTTGGGAACAGGCGGTCGGGACAGGAAAACTCTGCCTACAGGTAACCTCAAGTGCAGGTCCTTGTTAGAGACCAGTATTTAAATTACTAGATCCCAGGAGATATTTCCAGATGAGATACCATAGGAATTGAATCTGGGCGCTCAGCTTCCATCTTTCCTGTATTTTGTGCCCCGAGATTATGCAGAAATCTGCCTTCTGCTGGGGGTGACAAAGTGGGCCTGGAAGACATTTCCTGCCCAGCTGCTGAAACTTCATCAAGTAGAGAAGAAATGAGGTGACCATCACAGCCCCTGAGGGCCACCTTCTAGGCCCAGCAGGCTGACTGCTCTTTCCTGCCACTTGTGAGTCTCTTGCCCAGCCAGTTTTTTCTCTGAGAAGCTAGTTTAATTCTATCCAATGTGTGAGCTGCAAGTCCATGGCCACCATGCCCTGTGTTTGGAGACTCCTGTTCCTATGTGAAATACCACGCTTACTTCTGCAGGTAACTTCAGAGACCTCTGGTAGAAAAAAATGCCACTTTTCATCAATGTGCTTTGCAAAACACATCAGCCAGGGAGGCTGAAGGAACCATGAAAAGATTTTAGAAAGAAAGAATCAGTTCTTAGCAACAACTAAATTGCTTCTAGTTTACAACCTATGCTTTGTTGCTCCCATGAGAAATGCAGGACCTTGCCTCCTGCAGACTGCTCAATGCTCTCACCACCAGGAGCAAGAGCTGTGTCGGCACTGACTGAGGTTCTTGGCAGTCATCTGCCCTTCTTGGGTGAATCACATCTGGCCTAAACCAATCAGACAACCCCTTCTGCTTTGCCAGTAGTTGGTCCAACTAATTCTGACCTGTGGGATCTAAGGAGGATTGTGCAGCAAGGTTTAGACTCTCCTTTCTGGACACTGCTGTGTAAAAAAGGTAGCACCAAGTGCTATGTGGCAGTCACCTCACAGCCATGAGGTGTCAAGTATAAGGAAAGATGGAGGATCAGCCTTTGGCTTCAAACAACACAACCTACTTCAGAAACACCCCTGGAGTTATTTTTCAGCAGCACTACAAGTGTCCTGTGGAATGAGCAACTATCCATCCATATTTCCCAGGACTAGAGAAGCATCAAGGATTCAGAGCTGAAACATTCTGGACCAGGGGAATCTTGGGTATCGCTTTATCCATCTGGACAGGATCTTATAGAAGAAAGCAATAGTTGTGCCAGGGCTCAGGAAGCTAAGAAACACTATAAGGGAATTCCCAATCAGGGTCCCTCCCACCATGCCTTGCCTCTCTCCTTTCCAGAGCAGTAATAAGATTTCTTCAGAGAGTACCCTGAGTAACCTGCCAAGAGAGGAGCTTGGCTGTAAATGGAGGGTTCTCTCCTGCCTGCCAGTTCCCCAAAAAAACCACTCAGAGGCTTAGTATTACTTATAAAGGCTCGGCCGGTAGCTCAGGCTTATTACTAACTAGCTCTTACACTTAAATTAACTCTTATCTATGCTTAATTAATTAATTAGTTAATTAATTAATTCTTATCTATGTTTAGCCACATGGCTTGGTATCATTCTCATCTTGCTTCCTCTGCATCTGGCTGGTGACTCCCGACTCCACCCTTCTCCTTCCCAGCATTCTCAGTTTGGCTTTGCCGCCTAACTTCCTGCCTGTCAGCTTTTTTGGTTCTCAACCTATGGGTGGCATAGCAGATATCTGCCTGTCAGCTTTTTATTAACCATTATTAATACATATTCATAGTGTAGAAAAGGATTGTTCCACAGCACTTGGCAGCTCCCATCTTCTGACTCAGACCCCATTAACCAGAGATGGCTGTGCCCAGATAAAGGTGACACAAGCTGATTGTCAACACACCGACTGTTGTCACACACACACACACACACACACACACACACACACACACACACACTCTATTTTGGTCCCACGGAGAAGACCAAACTGTTGTCTGTTCTGCAGACCTAACCAGCTTTGTTCCAAGTCACCATAACCTCTCCAAGTCCCTCCAGTTTCCCTAAAGCTTATGAGAATGAACATTTACTCAGTTCTCCTGAAAGTTAG